CCTGTCTTTAGTACTCAACAAACTGTCGGAGCTATCCCTCGTACTTTTCCTCCGGATATCCTCACCAAGGATCAAATCACGAATACCTTCAAAAGTAAGCTTAGTGGTTCCAGCCGAACTACTAACTGCTGTGACTGTACCGGACCAACTATCGGGCAAAGATGATAACAAAAGTAATGCTTGAACTTCATCATCGAATTTAATCTCAACCAAACCTAACTGGATATAATTGAATTAAACTTGTTGACTTGATCTGTCACGGCTGCACCTTCCTTCATCCTTGTGTTCACCAACTGTCTGATTAAGAAAACCTTGTTGGCCGCTGAGGGTTTCTCGTACATGTTGGATAACGCCTTGAGCACTCCAAACGTTGTCTTCTCGTTGACGATGTTGTAAGCAACGTTTTTCGCCAACAACACCTCACCACACCAAGAGCCTGTCGATCCAGCAAGTTCCACACCGCCTCCGCCATCGATTTTGGTTTGTTCTCAGACAAGGGTAGATGAAGCTTCTTCTGGTAGAGATAATCTTCGATCTGCATCTTCCAGAAAGAGAAATCTTGACCATCAAATTTATCGATCTTAACCTTCCCTTCGTCAGCCATAGCTCTGATACCAGTTGTTACGATTAAGGTTAAGCTAAATGATAAAATAAAGAACTAAAACACAAGAATTTACGTGGTTCACACAATCGGGTGATTGTGCTAGTCCACGACGAACGAGAGAGAGCAGTGTATTATTATGTCAGCGCGTCAGGGTTTACAAGTACATAAGAGTCATTAAAATAGGTCTTAGAAAACCTAAAAACAAATTAGAGCAGCAGGTCGGGAAAAATAAAGCCCGTACAAATTTTTCCCGCATACCCGGTCGGGTACCCTACTGTACCCGGCCGGGTATCTATTCCAGAAAGCCTTTCACTCACGCTACCCGGTCTGGTAGCCAGGTGGGTATCCTCCGCTGGTTACGACTTCAACATACCCGGTCGGGTAAACCACATATACCCGACCGGGTATCCATTCCAGAGAGTTGCCCGACCAAATTCATCTTCATACCTGGTCGGGTATCTGCTTCAGCATTCAGAACAAGGCTCCATCTTCAACAAGTAGTTATTAATAATGAAGCGCGTTCATTAATAAAACTTACTATCAAGCTAATAGAGAACACACGCCATATATTACCCTGATAGTAGCAATAAAACTGAAGATGAAATCGATTGAGATTGATAACCTCAACACAAGCGATTTATTGGTTTAATCAATATAATTAATTCCCCTTAGATTATTAACCATGAGATGCATGCATTAAAAATCCAAGTTTACTACCGTTGAAAGGACCGAACGATTAACAAGTTTATTCGTTGATCGATTCTAGTAATAATCAATATATGAAACAAAACTAGTTGATCCTTTAAGTAATGATCGAATATTAATATGAAATATGAATAGGAATGTAATTAATATTCAAGGAAGATGATTAAAGAAAATAACTCACAACTTACAAATCAATAAACTTCAGTGTAGCAAAACCAAAATGGAAGGTGATGGAGTATATTCCCATACACCCCAAGGGTATCATAATCACCAGCATATACATCACGGATCCATCCCAAAATACACAAAAGTACTAAGTCCTCAATTGGGACCGACCCTGACCCTGAGCCACCAAGGTCGGGAAAAAGCACCAGACAACGAAACAACAAAGTACCGAAGGTCAGCTGACCCCAACCTTGACCCCCCGAGGTCGGCGAAATACCAAGCTCGGGAACCGTTCAGACACGGCAAGTTATGAGGCCAACCTCGAATGCACCGAGCTCGGTACCACTCTGACCTCGAGCACTGACACGAGATCAACAGAAGTCAAAACAGGGAAGTCAATGATCTCAAGGCAGAACCTACAACAGATGGTGCATTCACTTTCGATGAGCCCTAGCATCCAAATACTAGCCTCATTGAGCTCGAGGTCTGACTAAAGCATCATGGACTTAGACAAATGTATGAGAAAGGATATCACACAAGGATGTTGCCACATCATAATCACTCTTGAAGGAGGCCACATCAATCCTGGCAGCGAACAGAAGGAATATCTCGGACTAGACACATGTAGCCACATGCGTATTCGGGTGGCAGTTTGTTAGGGGTAGTTCCAATCAGCCTGCTGTCCCAGTTATCTCTCCAATCACCTTTACACGTGGTTGCACCCTATTGATTAGGCCTGTTAGTTTGTTAGAACGGATTGTACACACGTCCTCTCCCCATTTGATCATCATCTTTTAACTTGGGCACCAAGTATTGTCTTTCTAGTATAAATACCACCTTCCAACTTGTGGAAAGGGATCGATTTCTGTATTCTCTTGCTGTTACTCTGCTAAAATATCTACTTGAGCTTTCATCTCCGATCAACTCTTCTCTTTACTTTACTCGGATTCCGACTACCCTAGGTCGGCGATCCATCAGAAGAGTTTAGCTCCTCATTTGGAGACTAAACATACTAAAAAATATAAACAAAATACTTGCCTAAACTGAACTTAGAAGTATATGAGAATTGGTGATTTTATTGGGAAGGAAAGAAGTGTATTTATAGGCTTTTGGGAGTGGCAGGGTTTGATACTCGACCGGGTATATAGGATACCAATCGGGTATGAGATTTTTTTATATAAAATATTGCTCCAACGATCATTTGTTCCCGGATTTGATTTAGACACTCAAATCAAGCAAATACCCGATCTGGCATTGCCTATACCTGACCGGGTACAAGAGCAATCTTTCTAAATCAATATCTTTCTTTGCTCCTTGCACTTTCCTTGATCTTTTAAGGTCCAATTTTGACCCCTGGGATGATCTTGAACTATTTTAGCCCATAATAGTCCTAATCTAAACAAATTACAATCAACTATGTGTTGGGTTAATAGGCCCAATAGCAGGTCGGTCCATTACCCGCTAGACGCTGGGGACATCTGGGCCCAGATGGTAGACGCTTGTCCCCAGGGACCCTTTGCCCAAGGGAAGCCAGGTAACATGCTAGGGCCCTCGGCCAAGAGAATTGGCTCACGCTGTGCGGGTCCATGCTTTTGGACACCACATAACCCAGGCTGACTGTATGGAGGATGCTCGTCCAAACCCCAGGGAATACGAACGGAAGCATATCCTTGGTCTATCAAGGATCCTCAACTTGGCCCATTAGGACGCTCGGCTGTGGTTGTGGCAGGAAACCAAGATACTGGCGGGAACCACATTTAATGCAGTAGATTTGGTGGTTAAGAACTAGTCATCCACAATCATCCACGTCAGCAACACTACCTACCCCTTGGTAGTACAAATAGTAACATTTATTTTACTGTAAGGGGTTGGTAATTTAGCACTTTTAACATATAACGATTGTATCAGCTCATAGCATAACATTGGCCGAACAGCCTCAGGGTCCAAGCGGGATATGAGGAAACGTATACTGATCCCATATATGAAGATATTACACGTGCCCCTACTTTGTCCTATGATGATACTCTACCTGGCGACCACCATTGTTCCCACCTTACTTTTGCAGGTACTTCGGATATAACTCCAGACATAGACATTTGTCAAGAGGGATTTACGCAGGTTACAAGCCGAAAAAACTCAATTGCCTGCCCAAAATAGCAAATGCAGAAGACACACAACGATTCTACCACGTGGGGTACTCCTTACACTAGTGGAAAAACTTTAAATAGAGGCACTTCGTTTGAGGCGCTTTTTAGCACAAGCGCCTCTGTTAGCCGAATATATTAAATTTTTTATTTTTTTCGAAGGCGTGCGGCGTTTCTGGGCAAAAAACGCCTCCAATTTGTTTCCGAAACAATTTTTTTCAAAAAAAATAATGCACCGTGCGGCGCTTTCTTCTAAGAAGCGCCTCCATTTTGATTCCCGATTTTTTTAATGGACAAGCGTGCGGCGCTTAAGTCGGAAGCGCCATCGATGATATTCATTTTTTTAATTAACTCAAGCGAGCGGCGCTTTAAGAAAAGAAGGAAGCGCCTCCAACTTTAACCCTAGCTACACGCCACGCCACGCCAGTTTGGATTGTTGAAGTAGAGGACCTAAGCGCGCTGCAGCGGACCATCTCAAGCATCTATTGATCGAGCAGCCGCACCTACCAGAAGACCAAATCTTCACCGTCGCCGGCTGCTCCATTGCTTCCTCCGTACACCAGCCGTCGTCTTCTTCCTCTCAGCCGCTGCTTCGACTTGGCCCTGCTTTCTCGCCGTCGTCTTCTTCCTCTCAGCCGCTGCTTCGACTCGGCCCTGCTTTCTCGCCGTCGACTGGTCGCTAGCCGTCGACGGCTCCGGCTCGCCATGGATGCTCCGGCCCGCATCGCATAAATAAAGGTCAGTTCATTTATCAATTACGTTTTAGGAAATTTTGGTTGATTTCACTTTTATTTGATTTTCGTTTGAATGTTTTCGGATTAAAGTGTATTTCCGCTATAATCTTCCCCTACCATGAATTTACTTCGACAATCTTGTGTATTATTGTGTATATCTTTTTTGTTTAATTGAATGTTTTTCGTTTGAATGTTTTCGCATTATTGTGAGCCTCTTATTTTGACAAAAAAATGTTGCTTGATAGTCACTGCTAGTCCCAAGTTAAATCCGTACCTCTTATTGTGAGCCTCTTATTTTGTCAATAAAAAAGAACTGCTAGTCCCAAGTTATTTAGGGATTGGATTGGAATGTGAGTGTTTTGTATTGTTATTGTACAACAAAAGAATTGCTACTCACTGTTATTGTTCTATGTCTCTCTGAATTTGATATAGTTTAGTTTAATTGAACTTTGTCAATATGATTAGTTTAGTTTAATTGTACTTTGTTGTTGAATTTTGTTAAGGTGCATACAGTGCCATAATTATTATATTTAATGTATTATTATTTGAAAAGTATAAAATATTTGGTTTATTTGCTAAATTTTTTGCAAGGAATTGTTGATTCTAAAGTATTGCCAACACCCTCCCCCAACCTTAGGTTCATAAGTAGTGCCATCTCATTCTGTTTGAGCAGTACTGTATTACTTGAAAATGTTACTAAACTCACTTTTTAAGATTGTTTAACAAAGGAGTGCATCTTCCTGCAGTCCAAAAGTGCTAAACGTAGGCTGAGGAAACCTGGTACGGTCCCTTTGGCTTACGCAAAAGTGATGAAGAAGCTCAACTTTTCTGGTTGAATCATCTGGATTATCATTCTATGTTGCCTCCAGTTTGGAAAGCTTTTCTTGCAGTCCTTGTTCCTTACCATTTTTAACTGTGTAGGTAAAACATGCTTGTTTACTTAATTTGAGCAAAGTGATCACTTCTTTTTAGAAATTGTTCTGGAAATGCAGGATCCATTAGAATGGATGTATACTACTAAACTATGTTCTGTAGTTCTGTTACATACTTACATGAGTAATCATTAGGAGCGTAAAATAAGCACTTGACTGACTACCCGATTTTTAATATTCTGATTTATCAGTTTATTTGGTAATTTAAAAGATTTTGTTTGGCTTAGGAGCGTAAAATAAGCACTTGACTGACTACCCGATTTTTTTTATCATTGATAATAATCTATTTTCTTGTATTTTGTATCATGTCAAATTCTACCTATTTTATCATCTATAATTACTTTAAACTTTTACCTTACTGGAATTTGTGGACATATTAAGCCGGATTCACATGAAAACTGAATGTGAATGCAATGGTGGATGAGAATAACATTTTCTTAATTAGGTATAGTTTTTCCCACTCGGTCGTATTAATTTTGCTCTACGCGTGAGAATAGACTTTTTTTCACTATGTCTACACTATATGTTCTCAGATGGATCGTAGTTGGATGTATGGTCTTCGGAACACCTCTGAATTTTTCACGGGTGTTAATGGGTTTATAAAACATGCTCTTGCACACCAAAAACAAGGCCATATATGGATTTTATGTCCTTGTTCGAGGTGTCGTAATTTAAAAAAAGAAAATGATGCCAATGTTGTTCTTCAACACTTGCTTCAGAGAGGCTTTAGAGAAAATTATAGAATATGGTCGTTGCATGGTGAAACTTGTGTAGATGATGAAGTTGTTGCACGACCTACATCTAGTAATTTAAAGCGCAAAGTGTCCGACATTGCCAACGCCTCAAATGATCAAAATGACACTACTAATGATGGCAATGAATACAATGTTGATCTAATTGATGATCTTTTAAAAGATGTGCATGAAAGTTTTGAGCATCAACCAAATTCATACGAAAGTATGGTTGATGACGCCAGAATACCTTTGTATTCTACTTCAAGCTTCACCAAGTTGTCTGCGGTGTTGAAGTTGTTCCATTTGAAATCTAAATATGGGTGGAGTAATGTGAGTTTCACAGAGTTGTTGACATTACTTCAAGAGATGTTGCCTGAGGGGAACACACTTCCCGATACAACATATAAGGCTAGAAGGATATTGTGTCCTATGGGAACCGAGTGGAAGAAAAATCATGCATGTCCCAATGATTGTGTTCTCTACCGAAATGAGCATGAAAAAACTTAATTTACATATTAATATACAACGTTAGTATTATATATTTGTTTGAATAAACTTAATTTACATATTAATATGTTTTAATATTATGATCGATAAGGGATATATGTTTGTTTGAATTTGTAGAATGTACAGGGTTGCATCTGCACAAAAAGGTAGCGATAAGCCAATTAAATGGAATAGTGTGAAGGTATGTTACATCCTTTCTATCCTACAATTAATCTTAGGAAAGTAATCTTGAAATGGAATTTTGATTTATTATACGTGTGATGTGAACTATACAGGTTGCACAACAAACCGGAAGTACTGAATGTGGATATTATGTCATGAGATTCATGTGGGAAATAATATCATACTCTGAAAATCATGATATTGGAAAGGTATGAATAAATTGTGAGTTTGCAAAGTTATTTATTATATATATATATATTGTATTGTAATTAAAGTGAAATATATTTGTGATCATTTCAATACATTTCAGGTATGGCGTTCAAGAAGTGAACCATACACATTAGCAGAGTTCAATGATATCAGAAATATATGGTCAAGATACTTTCTGGATGTTGTATTGCAAAGTTGAGAAAAAACTATTTAGTCAAACAATTTGTAATGTATGAATGTTGATTGGATGTTTAATTAAACACGTATTTGATTGTGCATTATGCGTTTTTATAGATGATATGGTACTGTTTTTATCGGATATGTTTGATTGTATGAAGTTAATTTTATGTATTTTTACGTATTATAAACAGGGCATCTAGCTAAATTTTTAATACAAATATTTTTGATTAAATAAAATTTTAGAGGCGCTTCAACCGGTAAAGCGCCTCTAAAAGTTTTTCAAATTCAGAGGCGCTTTTTGATCAAATAAGCGCCGCACGCGTCACAAAGATTTTCAAATTCAGAGGCACTTGTGATCAAATAAGCGCCGCACGCGTCACAAAGATTTTCAAATTTAGAGGCGCTTTTTAACAAAGAAGCGCCGCACGCAAAGCGAAAAAAAAAATAATTAGAGGCGCTTTTTGCAGAGAAGCGCCTCTAAAAACACGTTGCGGCACTATACATTAGAGGCGCCATAAAGCGCCGCACGTGTACAAAAAAGCGCCTCGAAATGACGTTTTTGCACCTGTGTTACACCCCATGATCACGAGAAGTCACTCTTTCAAGCCCCAAAACGAGATGGATTACTATTTATATTCGGTAGATGAAAGGTTTGATTCACCACATAAACTAGCCGCAGAACTCGAGCGTTATAAATCTGCCCGCCTGAGAGCCAAAACCTTCCAACCATATCTGCAGAAGGCCATCATATTTCACAACAGATTCAATAGGGCTATCTCTGCATCGTTGGGAATTTCATAAAAAACTTTAACTGTTGATGTATTTTTTATTTTCTCGGAAGTATTTTTGTTTTCCCTATACTTTAATTTCATCGCTTTTATTCAATAAAATAGGGAACTGTTCCCCGGCACTCCTCCACCTAGTGTGGTTTATCTGGGAAAAAAGAGGACGAACAACCTTGGGGCTTTGTAGTGCAGTGTGTTGTTTACAGACCCTTATAATCACCTCAGATGGATGGATGGTCAGATCTAGCTAGGATGATGACCAACAACGGACAGATCTAGGGGGTGGGGTGGTGGCTATAGTTCAGTTGCGCTGGTCATGGTTGAGCTTGGTTGTCGAAGGCGGGGTTGGGAAGGGGTAGGAGGCTAGGGGCTGGGTTGGGATCCGGTGTGTAGAGCTATGGTAGGGGAGGGGGTTGGGGCTAGGGATGTAGTGGCGGTTGTGGACGGATCAGGGCGGCGGCAGTCACTTGACGGGATTGCGACAATCATTGGACGAGACGGCGGCGGAGTCACTGTGGCAGCCTAGTCACTGGCTGGGCGGAGTCACTACGGACGGAGTCACTGCGATCGAAGTCACTATGACCGGAGTCACTGCGACCAGAGTCACTATGACTGGTGAAGGAGGTGGCGGAGGCGCGAGAGGCAGCAGTGATGGTGATGGCGATGCATTAAATTTCTTAAATTTCTTGGTAGTCACTATCACCGGCGGCAGGAGCGGAGCACCGGTGGCGGGGGCGGAGCACCGACGGCAGGGGAGGGGGTACCGACGGTGGGCGATTCAAGGCTGGATGGCAGCGTTATTATTAAAAATGTATTTTAAAACAATAAAAGTAATACTTCGTATGAATTTAAATAAAGTGTATAAATGATAAGCCTTGTCACTTTTGTGGAAAACTTTGAAAACAGTCATATTAATGTCTTTTGTCTTTCCATTAGTAATATTCAAATAAAAAGGCCTATCATTATTATGTCAAATAATGTTAAATTTTTAGTCGTACAATTTCATACTCCGTATTATTAAAAGCTCATAATAATAAGAAAGATAATGAAGCAAAAAATTAATTACTACATGCAGATAACAAATGCAAGGAAACCCGCACGGGTAGCTCACTTGATCGAGTGGTGGGAAAATTGGATCAAGTGACCAAGGTTCGAAACCCGCAACGGCTATGTGGAGGTCACAGAACCTGAAATAAGGTTGGACCTCTGGTGCGCACGTGTATAAGGTCTACCGCCGCTTTGCTGACTGAGTCACCGTGATTAACTCCCCCATCATCTTGTCGGGTCGGGGTGGGGGGCTCCTGAGGTGGGAGATTCCATCTTTTGGACCAAACAAATGCAAGGAATACGGACTACGAAGTAGATGAGATGATATAGGTGTACACCTTAGCATCTTTAAATTTTTCTAGTGGGTCCAGTCCCTGCTCCTATGTAGGATGGTGTTTTAGTTTTGAAAAAAAGAATGACACCACATCCGTGAGGCCCCCAACATCAACCAGACAATTAGATGAGCAGATGTAAATTAGACTTTATTCATTAGCTGACAGATAGAGAGTGAAGCTCTGACCCTGGTACTTGCAGAGGCTCTTCTCAGTACTATTATATTTGCGAATAGCTGACAAATATAGAGTGAAGCACTGGCCCCGGACTTTAATCTCCGGTACTTACCAATGATCAAGAGAAAAGAATAAAAACTAATACTCCTTATTTAAGAAGCATGAATGAAAATGCTTTTAGTATCCATTATTTATACAACATTCAACATACCCGCACGGGTAGCTCAGTTGGTTCAGTGATGGAAAATTTGGACCAAGGTTCGCAACTCACACCGACCGTGTGGAGATTACAGCTCCTGCATGCTGGACTAGACCTCTGGTGCGCACCGATATAAAACCTACCATCATTGGGCCCACTAAGTCACCCTGACTTATCCTTCCAAAAATCATGCCGGTTCGAGGTGTGAGGCTCTTGGGGTGGGAGATTCCACCTTTTAGGAACAATAGACAACATTCAACGGTATATAGCCAAATTCCGACCGTTTAGCAACAACCTGCGCATTAAATTGACTAACTAATTACGGTGATCGGTCAAATGCTCATAGTTAAGCGGTTACGTTGACACTTGATTGACTGTTCTCATAAATGACAATGCTTCGTAAATTAGCGGTCGAGTATCTAAATTTTGTACCGCTGAATTTGTAGCGTACGTCGAACATGTAGTCCACTCAATTATTAGTGCGCGTAAGTGTCAAGTGTATCTCTCTACTGAGGAATGCACTTCGTGAGATTTTTTTTGGAGTAAAAAATATACTCCGTAGTATTTTCATTCGATAGGTAATAATCATTTATTTTGAACGTTTTATGATTTCAAAGTGTGCACATTTTCTTATTAATAGATTCATTTTGTATTTAAATAGTACACGTTTAGATGATGGAAGTCACGTACTGGAATTCTCCTTTTTGTGCGATTTTTCCAAGATGTGACGTATGAGATATTATAGTCTTTATTGTGAGATGAAATTTAAATAATAATCAGCCTTAGTAAAATTATCCTTGAATAGGACTTCATCTATAATCTTCTTTAAATAAAATTAAAACATTAATTTTATCCCTAATCTAATTAATTAATATAAGTAATTGCCTCTAGGCTCTAGTTGCATTGGATGAACGAATCGGTTCATCGGTAACGAGTTATCCGTCGATCGTTGGTGGCGGGGCACTCCGGTGATGGAGTTGGCGGCAAGAGACAGACTGATGGCGGTGAAAATCTAGAATGTTTTTCGCACTGGGCCGAAGCTCCAATGTTTGGCGGCGGGGGCGGTTGGCAGCGCCAAGGCTAATATTCGTGAATGCGTATTTTTGTCAAATCACTAAAAAACTCTTATTTTGAAAATTTTAAACAATTACACCTATTTTTATTTTATCATATTTCATTCTTATTATGGGAACTATCTCAAATTAAATTTTATACAAAGTATGAAACAGACCCCACAGGTAGGGGCCAGGCCCATAGATGCAGAGGTAAAGGGGGCCATTGGGCCCGGCCCACAGGCCACATCATAAATCCACAAAATCATGCTCGTACATTCTATTTGATTGTTCCAAAATGTTTCACTTTCGATTTTAATCAATCAATTTGTGATTTCTATTATTTCTTTCTCCTCCACACAAAATTCAATCACACAAATTTTACTTTAAAGTATTTGCCCTAAATGGACTAAATTATTAACAAAGTTCCAAAATAGGAGTTACCTTTCATTGATTCCCTACATAGGACTAATTTAATCACTCTACCTATTATACCATCTCTCTTAATTATTGTCTCGATCGTCACTTTCTCTTATCTCTTTTCTTCCTTGCGATTCATCTCCCATCTAGCTCTCTCATCTCCCTCACACGTCTATGATAAATCCATCTTCAGACCTCAATTTTTTTCTCTTCCCTTCTATAATAACTTTAATTTTATTATTTTGATATCAATTCCTCTCATTTTCTCCGTTTTAGAGGTATAAACTATGAGTTTATTCTCCATTTCCGGCCACCAATGAGCAGGGGTAGCGAGTGGCGGCGGGCTGGCGGTAACCAGGTATGTATTCTTTTTCTCTTCTTCTTCTTCTTCCTCTTCCTCCTCTTCTTCTTCCTCTTCTTCTTCCTCTTCCTCCTCTTCTTCTTCCTCTTCTTCCTCTTCTTCCTCCTCTTCCTCTTCCTCTTCCTCTTCCTCTTCCTCTTCCTCTTCCTCTTCCTCTTCCTCTTCCTCTTCCTCTTCCTCTTCCTCTTCCTCTTCCTCTTCCTCTTCCTCTTCCTCTTCCTCTTCTTCTTCTTCTTCTTCTTCTTCTTCTTCTTCTTCTTCTTCTTCTTCTTCCTCTTCTTCCTCTTCTTCCTCTTCTTCCTCTTCTTCTTCCTCTTCTTCCTCTTCTTCCTCCTCCTCCTCCTCCTCCTCCTCCTTTCTTCTTCTTCTTCTTCTTCTTCTTCTTCTTCTTCTTCTTCTTCTTCTTCTTCTTCTTCTTCTTCTTCTTCTTCTTCTTCTCCTCCTCCTCCTCCTCCTCCTCCTCCTCCTCCTCCTCCTCCTCCTCCTCCTACTCCTCCTCCTACTCCTACTCCTACTCCTTCTGCTTCTCCTACTCCTACTCCTTCTCCTTCTCCTTCTCCTTCTCCTTCTCCTTCTGCTTCTGCTTCTTCTTCTTCTTCTTCTTCTCCTTCTCCTTCTCTTTCTCCTCCTCCTTCTCCTCCTCCTCCTCCTTCCTCCTTCCTCCTCCTCCTCCTCCTCCTCCTGCTTCTGCTCCTTCTTCTTCTCCTTCTTCTTCTCCTCCTTCTTCTCCTC